GTCTGTGGGAGTCTAGCTCTCGCTGGTCCGGGGGTTCGGAAGGAGACATGGAGTCGGCTAAGTGAAAGTAATCAAGGAGTCTCCGCTTAGTTGCCTAGAGGAGGAGAGCTCTCTCCGGCTTAGCAACATCTTTATTTTAGAGTTCAAGTTACATAATGCCTCGAGGTGTTTTTCCTACATTTCATAATTATATTTTTAGATCATTACTCATATTGATTACATATTTGATTATATCATTCTATTCCTATATCCTTACATGTTGTTGTTGTCAGGTGCCATCGAGTCGGAACCAACTCATAGTGACCCCATGCACAGCAGAACGAAACCATGTCCGATCCTGGGTCAACCTCACTACCGTTGCCACACTTGACGCATCAATGATGCCACCTGGCCGATCCATCTCGTTGGGGGGTCTTCCTCTCTTTCTCTGACCCTCCATCTTACCAAGCATGATATCCTTCTTCAGCGACTGTTCCCTCCTGACAATATGTCCAAAGTATATCCTTACATAGTGTCTAATAATGAATCTCATGAACTTTTATGCGACCTTTATTTCTAAAGTTCATAAACCACAACTTTTCTTCCCTGTTCTCATTCTTATAGGTGACAGACTGTTTTTTCCTGTTTTTTGTAAAGGTTGTATCTACTCTTAATATCTTAATTAAATTCCTTTCCTGATACAAGTTATAGTTATTTATAACTTACCCCACACTATCCCATTGTCCCCTTTAGTAACCTATTCTCTAACCTATACAAGACTCTATTCATAGCCCATGTAACATTCCCAGCATTTATTTAGTTCAGTCGTTCTTCTATAACGTTCATTAAATTGTCAGGCTATGGTGTTTCTTTGTTTCTTTAAAATCCCCTTTGAATCTACTCCTGTAAAATTGATACAATTTATGCAAGACTGATTTTCCCTAAATAACGCTTTTCTGAACAACCCATAGTAGGATCCGTAAATGTAGCAATACAATATATCCCCACAAGTGAATTCAGAACCATCCCAACGAAGAGAGATAAAGGTGCTTTCCCAAAAACATCTGCCATGATGATGCTTCTTCTTTGCCTGGACTGTGTCAAACGGCAATAGGGGGTTGGCTCCCGACATTTCGTCTCTCATACTTTGGACATATTGTCAGGAGGGAACAGTCGCTGGAGAAGGATATCATGCTTGGTAAGATGGAGGGTCAGAGAAAAAGAGGAAGACCCCCAAATGGATTGGCCAGGTGGCAGCATTGATGGCGTCAAGTGTGGCAGCGGTAGTGAGGTTGGCCCAGGATTGGACATTGTTTTTGTTCTGCTGTGCACGGGGTCGCTATGAGTCGGTTCCGACTCGATGGCACCTGACAACAACAACAGTGGGCTGTGCGTCTGGGGTCGGGACCATGCTGTAGCCCCACCCTGCTCAGACACGCTTGGTGGGTTGAGAGTTGGCCTGGGAAGGACTCTACCAGGAGGTCTGGTGGCTGAATGAGGGACCTCATCTGGCTAGAGCTGAGCTGTCAACTGACTGCCACTGGTTGCAGGTGGCTACTGAGCACTTGAAAGGTAGCAATCTGAATTGAGGTGTGTCAGAAGCATGAAGTATACACCGGGTTTGTAAGTTAGAACAGAAAAGACAATTAACTGTCACGGAAGCTGTCAAGAAAACCAGACGTGTTGCATTTGGGCAGATCTGCGAAAATCCTCTTTGAAGTGTTAAAGAGCAAAGATGTCAGTTTAAGGACTAAGGTTCGCCTGACTCAAGCCATGGTATTTTCAGTAGCCTCACAACCGTGTGCAAGTTGGACAGTGAATAAGGAAGACTGGAGATGAATTGATGCATTTGAGTTATGGAGAAGAATATTAAAAGTACCATGGACTGCTATGGTATTTTTAACACAAGCAAATCTGTGTTGGAAGGAGTACAACCAGAATGCTCCTTAGAGGTCAGGATGGCCAGACATGTTGTCAGTGTTAGCAATGAATCTTGATGTCATATAAAAGACACTCAGTGAGACTAAATTACCTTGGCAAAGCAAAATTTACTCCTGCAAGAGGGTCAATCCCCCCCCCCCTTTTTTTTAAGGAAGTAAAAGAAAAAAAAAATCACCTGAATACAATAAACAGGATTATAACATTTTTTTTTTCTTTTTAGACTTCTTCATTCTTTTCTTCAAATTTTGCAAGGAGATGTTGAATTTGGTGTTTATATGTTTCTAGGTGAAAAAGGTTATTTCAGTATGGGGGTGGGGATTGTTTGGATAGGGCTGTTTCTATCCAGTTAGAGAGGTGAGGACTGAAGTCATAAGCCCTTTGCATTTCCCAAATCATTGTTCCATGATATTAGAAAAGGGGTCATCTATGCCTGAATTTTCAGCGAGTTCATTAGCTAAGATGGTCAGCCCTTGTAATGCTTCGGTAAAGGTACCATCAGTAACGGCGTTATTGGGAATGAAAGTACAACATTGGACTTCGATCATAACACATGCTTCTTTTTCTGTTAATATCATCTCTAGGGCTAACTTGCTTTCCCAGGTCATTTTGCTAGTAGGTCCTAATTGTTCTGCTATTCCCTTTATAGCACCCCTGCTATAATTTACAAATCTTTGTTGATTATAATAGATGTAGTTAATCCAGTCCACATTTTTGTTAATGGTTGACCACCAGAATAATACAGATTCAAACCCTACAGCTATTTGGTTTCTTGTTTTGAATTTGTTTGGCACCCCTTGAGTAACTCCTATACTGTCTATGTAAACATGGGAATCGAAAGAGCCATGGGGAGTAATACACTTCCCTTAGCTTTATGCCTGTTTCCTGCAGTTGTTGGTTGATGGAATGTCAGGGTGAAAGGGATGGCCAATTGCACCAAAGCGCAGGTGCCACTCCAATTTGCTGGTAAAGCCCCGAATAATTGTTTCCTATAATACCACCAGACATCTGCTCGCGAAATAGCTAGGGCTGACTGATTTTGGAGCTTTTTAAAGAGTTTGCGCTCGCTGTATCCCATCAGGTTTCTGATGAACATCAAATTCCCCCCGTGTCTGGAGCGACACAAAGTGAAATTGACATTTGAGGCTGGAGGCCTAATGGTCCTCGGGGGCTGACCCGTAAGACCCCTGACATTAGGGAGCAGTTGTGACAACGTGTTACAGGATTCGTTGCCCCAGGATATAGGGTCTTGGAAGAGAGCAACCATACAATGCATGCCCTGAGAATCTGAGGACCATCCGAGTAGAAAGGGGACCACTTGGTCTTCCGGTCTTCCTGTTGCACAACTGTAACAATCGCTCTTATTTAGAGTATGAACAGAATATTTAAGCCATTCCAACCAAGCCCCTTTTTTATCGGTTCCTTTATTTGAGTAGTTAGTCCACTCCTCCATGGTTGGCTGCCTCAATGGTCAACTACACCTGGGAAAGGCCCTCACAGTTCAGCTGGAGTCTGTTCTCTTTCCAGGTCTTAATCAGCATCCCTATATCCTGTTTCTATAGCTATAGTTTGTCTTAGGTCTTTAACTTACGTAATTGTCACTTTGGAAGGGTCGTTTCCAGAACTTAAGGGGAGGTAGTAGATCTGAATCATTTCTAGGATTCTGTGAGTTCTGTCCTTGATAAAGGTAGGGCTTGAGTTTTGTCTAATTAGTTTTAGAGAGGAAACTTCTATAGGATTCTTTCCTGTTAACATCGGCTCCCAATCCATAGTTTCCTATTATTGAAGGTTCTCTAGTCATGGTTTTGGGATTATCTATAGTTAAGAGTAATGG